TGTCTAATTTTCATTTGTCAGTCATGTATCATATGTATTAGACTCTTAAATCAACATTAGTATAATTTGTGGCATTCTGAATTCAAGGAGATACAATGCATCCATCCAGCGTTTCAAGAATTCTAAGCTTACCTGAAAAACCTATAAATATTTCTATTTGCCTGTAAGTGAATAAAAATTCTACTTTGTCTCTTGTGGAAATCAGATGATACTCTATATTCATAATTGTGTGCGTGTCTAGTAGACATTATGTTTATTGGTTTTTCGCATGTTGATTTGGGAACGTTTTTGCATACATACCATTTGTTTTAGATAAACATACATTAGATTCTTTTAAAATGGATTCAATAAAAGTTAGTGGTGTAATGTTTTTGATGTTTGTTTATAGTTGGTAATATTGTTATTAGGCTCTCAAAGTACTAATTTTGATTTTACTAATGCCATCCTAACTAAAAAAAGAACAAAATTCTTTAAGTAGAAAGTACTTAAAGTAGAGGGCTGTTGCATTTTGTTTATCAGTCACTGCTTATAGGAGACAATTAGTGGTGATAACAGATTGGAGCTATAGAAAAGCACATCACAATCAATCCTCTTATCAGATGATTTTCATTCTAACATTTCGCCTGTCTGTGGTATGTAAATGTAATTCCATGTTTTTTTTCCATTGATATTGTTTTGTCTTTTATGAAAAACACCACAAATAATGCTTTTATTCTTCCACTTTTCTGTAGGTAATTTCAATAATTATTGAATTTTATCTTTATTCCAAAGAATTTTTTTTTACTAGAAGATTTACTCTACATTTTTTTTTCTTTAAATAAGTTCACCTAAAGCAAGGTAATAAAGTCACTTGAATGCAAGGAGTTACTGGGAGTGAAAGACAGATGATGATTGATGTTGCATTTGAAATACTAACGACTTTGGAGATATTTCTGTCATATGTGCAGATTATGTCCTGCAAAAAGTTCAATTCTTTTTTTTTTGTCTTTATCAGTAGTTATCATCTCATTAACTCTTAACAGGCCCAAAAGACAAAAAAATAAACCAACAAAACTGAAACAACCAAGATGTGTCTTCCTCACACAGTGGGGCTGTGACATTAAAAGAATTCACCATCTGTTCAGAGTTTTACATTGTCAACAATGATAAAACAGCCCTAAATACATAGATAATGTTTATTATTTGGCCAAGATAATAATTGCTTAAATACATATATCATAGTTTAAGTTACTCAAAATAGAAAAGGGACTTCAATTGTGAGTACTGTCTCCTACATTAAAACCACTTTTATTTCAATACAGCCTTTAAAGGCTTTTACAGTATGCCCAAAAGTGTTGTCCCCATAAAAGAAGCAACCAGGGCAGACCCAACCTTTGCTACACTAATGTTTTCATAAACATAGTTGTTAAAAAGACATTTAAACTTTTGATGAAATAAACAAATTTACCCATAATAGAAAAGGAAATATTGTTAGATGTAACAGTAAAATCATTTGAGCAGGATATTGCTGAAATGAAAGAAATTATCAAATCAGTGCAACCCACTTCTCTACTGAAAATATTTGTACACAGATTCCTTCAATTGCAGTTAGATTAAATTATAATTAGACACTTAAATTCTTCAACTGAATATGATATCTTAAATTGTATATAGATTAATTTCATTTAAAAACAAACAAACAAAAAAAGAACTTAGGTTGAGTAATATTGAGTTGCCACTGAATGTACTAATTATTTACTTGGCCAATCCATTCTACTAACTTCTGCAGGAATGGAAAAATAAAAAAGTAACAAAGAGGAAATCAAAAAAACTGTTTTCTACTGATAATAAACTTAAAGGAGGCTATAGAATGGGTAAGCCAAAACCTTGTGCTGGAACAATATAACACAAAGAATGTGTTCATGTGTTTAAATAACTCTTAGAATGATAATGAAACTTTGCAAACTTATAAACAGTATCTTCTATGCAGATAATATACCCGAAGAAGGTTATAGAATGGAACAATCAAAATGTTATAACATCAAACATACATACACACACACAAAAAAAAAAGAGTTCAATAGTCTGAATGACTCTTGGGAGCCAAAATGTCATGTTGAATAGCATAAGAGAGAAATATTAAATGCCATATAATTTGAGTAATCAGTTCTTATGAAAGCATTGGATTCATCCCCAGATTATGTCCAATTAGGAGTATATGGGCTGAATATTTCACTGACAATTGCAAAAATAATTACTGTATATTTCTGCATATAAGACAGCCTTTAAATACCAAAAATGACCCTTAAAAATTGCGGGTCATTTTATACTACAATTCTAAAAAAGAAACCTTAAATTCTGGGTAATGTTTGTCAGTAGGCTAAACTTGGCCTTGGTGTGATAATCAATGTATATGAAAAGATTCACATTATTAAATAAACTGATAATAAAAGTAATAAAACCATTTCTTTGTTATATATTACTGGAATAACTTCATAATAAATTGCCTATTCAAAGAATAATTCCATATCAATGAAATCAACTACATTGTAACATAACATCATAGCACTATTTACATTGTTCGGACTGTTATCCTCATCTTCATTGCCATATTCATAACGTTTCAGCTATTGTACATTCCAGCCTTCTTCAGGCGATTGGAATTTCAAACTGAACCTTTTATTTTGTCAAACAGGGTAGTTTTCTAGTTCCTCAAGGACACATAGCCCAGTGGATAAAAGTGTTGGTTGAATCCAGTGACTTGACCTAAAGAGCTGCGAGTTCAATAGCTTGCTACAGCAGAGGTGAACAAAAAACTTGCATAGTTGAATTAAAGGGAAATAACTGATACTGAAATGTCTGGAAGAGGTATGGCATGTGGAACTAGAACAATCTACCCTAGTGGATGAAGCAAAAGGTTCAGTTTGGAATTCCAATCACCTGAAGACTGCCAGAGCATACAACCGAAAGTCGTGAATATGGAAATGAAAATGAGGTCAACAGTCCAAACAATGTAAATAGTGCAAATAATTATAATACCTCACCTAAGTAATATAGACAGATATAACATCATAGTTTATACAAACTTCATCATAATATATTCAGAATACACTAAACACAAAGTGCTGACAATGTGTGTATACTTATATACATATGCAGAATTTAATGTTTTCTTATATGCAAAATATCTTTCTAATCATAGGTTTTGAAGTGAATCTAACTTACCACTCATCAGAAAGTGCTAATGTTTTATTAAATTCCTTTGTAATAGGGAAACATCTGCAATCTTGTATCTGTGGTATACATTATTTGTAAATTTAAAGCATGAAAACAAGATTTGTAATGTTAATCTCTCGAGACTCAATTTAAAAGCCATAAAAAGGTTTTCCAAAGTACATATTGGAATAAAAAGAAATTTTGATAATGAAAGACTTTAATAATTTTCCCAGTAATACAAGAGTAAACATTTCATCTCTGTGTAAACTTTTACACACGTGCATGTAAAAACTGTATATTGGTAAAAAAATCATCAACAATTCTAATAGAAAAAAAATTAAGTTTATGAAACAACTGTATCTAATATACACATTATTTAAAGCAGTAAGTATGCAACTCAATAATGAAAAAAAAAAAAAAAAAAAAAAAGATTATTTTTATATATCACAAAATTTGTATTTTTAATATTTATTTTTTTTAATATGATCAACTTGATCCAACTGTGAATATTAATCATATAAATCAACAGTCATCTAATGTTAGACTTATTGATCCACACTCATAATTTGAATCTTTTATAAAATTTACAGAAATCAAATATTAAAGTTTGTTCATTTTCTCCTGAAGTTGAATAATCCCTTAAAACCAAATTTTAAAAAAAAATTTATGTAAGTATTTTCTCTGTGACATAGAAAGAATTTTGATTTCAGAATTATTTCTTAAATGATTTATTTTAAAAGGTATAACTATATAAGTAATTCTAAAAAGCAAGTCCCCCCCCCTCCATTAAATATTTAACATTCCAAGCATCATTACAATGTGTTCTTTAGGTACTAATATATCCAGATATTTAGCAAAAGAATTTATAACAAGATTCTAAATTCTACTAAAGCAGTAGTTCTCAACCATTTTTGCCCAATGCACCCTTTTCACCATATGTCAGAATGTCATTACCACACCTTTCCAAGATTGTCTGATCTGAAAAGGTTCATGCCAAATAATATGCATATATTATTGAAAACCTTTATTCTTTTCCATATTGGCACATATGGATTTTACAAATTTAATAGCAACAGAGAATATTGATAAATTTATAAATTTAAATAAAAGTTCAGTAATTTGTTATTAACCTTTAACAAACTGGAAGTGATTTTGCTTGCAAAGTAAAAATTTTATCTTGCCACTGTAAATGACTCAGATGAATGAATGATAGCATGTTTGAATTTTGCAGTTGTGTTGTCATATCCTGCTATGGCAACAGAAAATGACCATGACTGAAATTAAGTAGTACAGTAGAACCTTGAAAAGCAATGCAGTGGAAAGGAAAGTAGTGAATAATTCAATGTTAACGGTTAAATAAATAAACTGAAGCTTACTTCAATAAAGAAAACATTCAGCAGAATGCCAGGGTATTGGAATTCAATAAGCAAAAAGTTCAATTGTTCTGGGTATTTACACCGATTTTTTATTTTACTGCCAATGAGAAACTTGTGAAGAAATAAAAGATTTTTCCGCCCCCATCATTTGAAAGCCTGAGATCCCCCTCCCGGTTGAGAACCCCTGTACTAAAGGATGAATCAAAAAAAAAAAAAAAAAAAAAAAAAAGATAAAGTCATTTAACATGCAAAATTCTATTAATTCTATAACTATTGTATCATATGTACATCGTTGACATGCTTTGAAGAATGAGAATTTGTATCTATTAAGAAATAAAATTTGAAGGAAAAAGGAAGAAGTTATACCGATTGTTGGTGTAATGTAAAAAAGAATCTCAATAGCAAAGGAGATTGAGCATGCATACTCACACTGTCCTTGTTGTAGTAAGTCAACGTGTTCTCATGCCTCGATAATACAAATCTTCGGGGTTTATACTTTTGATTTTCTTTGCCTCTTTTCATTAACACCCCTTCTTTTAGATCTTTGATATATTCATTCTGTTTATTAGGATCTTGGAAATCTAATCTCTTGTATTTCGCATAAATCCACTCCATCTTTAATACCCTGAAAATAAGTACATAGAAAGTAATCACACGTGAAATTTGAATGAAAACGCGCTAAAATACCGACATGTGTCTAATTTTTAAGCAGTATTCATTGTTAGTAAATCTGTTATGTTATTGTAGAATGATGGTTAAGTGTAATTGGCAATAATGCATTTTCTTGGTTAGGAAGAAATCCCAGCATGCATCTGTAAGGATTTGTTTATAAATAAGGGGAGGGAGATGTTTTTGAAGTCATTCCTAACAGGATTGGCATTAAATGCTTCTAATATTTAAAAAAATGAAATGTTTTCAGTATTCTTTAAAAAAAAAAAAAAAAAAAAAAAAAAAAATGAAATTCTTTTAGTATTCTTAAAAAAGAAAAAATGAAATACTTCTAATATTCTTAAAAAAAAAAAAAAAAAAAAAAAAGAATGAAATGGATTTGATATTTTTTAGATAAATTATCACAAGAGTGACAAAAAAGCTTGATTTACTTCCCAAAATCAGCATTTCAATGAGCAAACAGAATTATTTTTGGAAGGGTAAAAAAAAAAAGAAATCTGAGAAACCTATGCCGTGTAAAGTGAATATATAAAATAGCATTTAGGTTATCCTTCTTGGTTAGGTTTAAGATTTTTCAGCATCTCTGTACTTTTGTTTTAAATCCAGTCTTCCTACACATATTTAAAATTTTGGGGGTTCCCGTACTAATAACGGATAAGCAATTATTCCCATCTGAAGGAAATGTTAGATGATTGTAAATTAACAAAAGTACAATTCTGGGATTCTCCAATATAGACTATAAATTCAGTAAATTCAGTCACAGAAGCTTCCATCTGACTATATAGTTTCCGATCTTCCTTGTTTAAATGTACTAATAGTATGATTAGTGCTATTGGATGAAGCATTGTCAATTTTTTTTTTTTAATACTTGTAATGCTTTTATCCACTAGGTCATAGAACACATAGCCTAGTGGATAAAATCATTGGTTAAATCCAGTGACATGACCCAAAGAGTTGTGAGTTCAATACCTGACTACTGCAGTGATGGACAAAAACTTGGAGAGTTGAGTTAAAAGGAGATATTTGAGAAGTCCAGAAGAGGTATAGTATGTGGAACTAGAACAATCTACATCAGTGGATGAAATAAGGGTTCACTCCAAAATTCCAATCACCTGAAGAAGAACGAAGTGTACAACAGCCAAAATATCATGAATATGGCAACAAAGCCAAGGACAACAGTCCAAATAGTGTAAATAGTTAAATACCTATACATAAAAAGTAATAAAAATAGGTATTCTCAAGCTAATTACAATGAAAAAATGATAAGAAAAATCTAAAATTATTTAGGTTAATAACATCTTTTAATTATTGCCAAATAACCGATTCTACAATGAGATTCAAAATTTAATAGAGAATAAACAGGTTAAGCAAAAGACAATAATAGATCTTCCATTAAAATTTTTCTGGTATACTTAAAAAGCTAAGCAAAGTATTAAGAAACAGGAAAATTTTATTAAAAACAAAGACAAGAGTACTGTACTGTTATGTAATATCAGTCCTCATATGAGGCAGTGAATACTAGCCAATCTCTTCAAAGATGAAGAAAAGAGTTGAAGCATCAGAAACAAAGAAAAGAGTTGAAGCATCAGAAACAAAGAAAAGAGTACTGAACTGTTATGTAATATCAGTCCTTCTAAAAGGCAGTGAATGCTGGACGATCTCCTCACAGATGAAGAAGAGACTTGAAGTAACAGAAATGTGGTTCTACAGAAAGATGCCGAGAATACCATATAGACCAAACAACAAAGTTTTAGAGACAATGGAAACAAAAAAAGGACCTTATACTTAACATAAGAAAATTTCTAGGGTACATAATGAGGAAAGTGGTGCTTGGAAAATTTGATACACACAGGATAGATTGAAGACAAGAGCTATAGATGAAAACAACATGTAACTTAGTGAGTTTAAGTAAATGGATGGCACAACAGGGTTTAAGAGAGAGATAAAAAGACAAAATTTAGTAAGAGCTACAAAGGACTGGAAATTGTGGAGAGCTATGATCATCAATATTCTGAAGAGACATGACACATAGAAGAATACTTCACCAGATATTACTTCTTTTTATACTAAACACAAAAGTTTCTTTTTTGGTAACTAACATATTCATGTTCTAACAGTCTTTGAATTTAACTAAAACAAGATTGCAGTTAAATCAAGACCAAAGCAGTGAAATAAAAGTCAAAAGATATACTATTAAAAAAAGAATAAAAATAGCAATGCTTCATCTCCAAAAGCCAAAAGCTATTACATCTAATATTATTAATGTAAACAAAACATGTGGTATTGTGGATCAGATTTAAAAAAAAAAAAAAACACACACACACACAGCTATATGCGGTTTAGACAAAGTTCCTTGGTAGAACTTTCATAGCCTAATCAATTGAGGAGTTGAGAGTTGTAATAAAAACAACTGAAATAAAAATTAAATAAATATTAGTCTAAAATTAATAAGGATATTTCTTGTTTTCTTATAAAGAAATTTAAGGCAAATATAATTAAATTGCCTAGAAGTCATCCTTCTGGCGGACTTTAGGTTATCTCCTGCAGTGGGCTTTTAGGCCTTCAACGTTTTACCTTTAACATCCTATGTATGTAAAAGTTATAAGAATTTAGAAAGAATAAAATTATTTTATTTTTATTTGATACCTTTATTTGGCATAATCATTCTTTGTATATGCAACCGATCTCAGTAGTTTGTTTACATTTATTTTGTGCGCAATTTTTATTTTCTTTTAAAATCACCATTCTTTATGATTCTTTCACATAAAGTCACTCTTAAAAGATATTAGGGAACCCAAACTATGTAATATTTTGAATATATCACAGTAAAAATGTGAGAAAAATAAAAAAAAAGCATATGATCAACGTACCATGCACCACTTAAGTTTTAATTATGGTTTTAGATGATATCAATTGCAATTGCAGTGAAAAGTGAAAATAAAGTTAAATCCAGCCAGATGGATGGGCACATCGATTGCACCTTATTTATATAGGAGAAACAAACTTTTTGTGTAGATTAATTTTAATGATCAACTCCTTCAAATTACCAATAATCCTTCTCAGACAAGGAGGAAATTCCATCAGAATGTAGTCAGATGTGTAGTCATGCCAACATAACAAATTTAGTCCAGTGAAGTCCTATAGGACAAAATGCATCACAACAAAAATTTTTCAACATATGTATGTATGTATGTATGTATGTATGTGTGTGTGTGTGTGTGTGATGGACTCTCCTGTCAAGTTCGACGTGTGAGGTTCAAATGACCACAAACTAATTATCTACATGCCTATGACGGCATGACTTTTAAGACCAGCTCAAGAATTGCACAAAAAGACCACAAACAGTACAGGAGAAGGTATTGTATCCAAGTGCTGCAGGAACACTGTTAGATGTCTTATTTTGTGTTTTTGTTTCATGTAGTCAACTGATGGTTACTTCTTAGTGCAGCTATATCAATGTTGTACATCTTCTTTTTATATATATATATATATATATATATATATATATATATTATTCATTCAAGCATGTTTGTTTGAATTATCTGGACATATGTCTATTTTTATTTTAATAAATTTAATATCAACATTAAGAAGATCATCTGAGAATTTGAGAGCATTAAGGAAGATGCTGTGTTTTTTTTTTTTTATTTTTTTTTTTTTTGTACTTCTTTTATTATTTTATTTTCCCCAATTATTTTCAATCTCGTCCAAGATCATCTACAGGAGTGAATTGCTAAGACAAAAAATTAATGTAATTGATAGTTGTGAAATTTTTTTTGTATAGGCGCATGAAACGCGTGCTGTCATAATTATAAACATGTATGAATGCATTCCATTATAGTTAAGTTAAAAATTAATTCTAAGGGAGATAGCTTTAATTTATATAATTATAATTTTTTTTATAATTACAATTTAAGTATTTTAAAAGCATAGCTATTATAGAGATTTTAAAACATTGTTGCTATACTCATAACTAACCTCATATAGTATTGGTTGTATTTTATATATGAAGATTGCGTTTGGCATGAAACTCTTGGTGTAAATGGTGTGGGAGATATATATATATATATATATATATATATATGTATGAGAATAAATCACAATTGTTTTTATTTGTTGATGGTTGTTTTTGTTGCATGAGTATTACTTCAATATATACATTTCATATCTAAACAATGTTTATTTCTTAAATATATACATGAAATTTTTTAAATTTCTAAAACTTTCACATATATACTTAAGAAATTGTCACTTTATTTAACGTCCAATTTAAGAACAAAATGCTTCCAAAATATTGAAACTTTTATCAACCGATGAAAACAAACTAAAAAGCGTTTTTTTAGAACATAGAATTGGCTTTGCTCGTTAGTAGCAATTAAGTGAATTTATTTTCTTTTGTGTATAATGGAATAAATGAGTGAAGAAGAAAATGATGAAAAACAGATTATAAAGATGAAAGAAGTCATGTACTTCAGAGATGAAAGTATTTAGAGAAAATAGTACCAAGGACTCAGTTAGTAGCATTAAAAATAAAGAATAAAGTGTCTACATATTTTAATAAATATGCATATTATCCTTTACAACTAGCACAACATAATCTTCAGGTGCTATATATATATATATATATATACATATATATATCACATATACACACACAGCAGTAAAATAAGAACAAATGGAATATAATTCCACTGTCTGTAACATTTAATTTAAAAGAGCGATCAATACAGAGTAGAGCTAAATATTATTTTATTATCAGAGATTAAAACAAAAACATGTTAAAAATCTCTACGCAATCGTGTTTCAACACTACAAATGTGTCTCCTTGGGTGATAGTAAATTACTTGTGAGTGAACAATTAATTTCAAAGGCAGAATACTTCCCCTTTTTTTGAAAGAGAAGACAAAAAATACAAAAACAAAAAACCCCCCAAAAAACAATTAAAATGAGGCTTGT